TGGCATAATACTGTGATTAATACATTATAAAATGATAGTCTCAATCAACCTGAATCAGAAGCTCAGATGAGGGGAAATAACAAAAGTAACACTCACCTGGCCAGGATACCTCCAGCTGAAGCTGACATTCATCTCAGGTTCACCCAGGACTGTGCATGTAACGTTAAAGATGTCTCCACCACTCACCGTGTTCGATGAAGCCTCGATAGTCGCAAAAGGGGGACCACTAGGCACTACAAGGGGAAATCTCTTTTAGATTCATACAATGCCAAAAACATGATTAAAAGCAAGTGTTATTAGCAACACTATTGTGTTCTCCTCTTACCCTCCACATACAGCAACTGGTATTTAGTGGATATTTGCAGGGTGGTTTTCGTGGTGCTGTTGGCCTTGCAGTAATAAGCTCCCTTATGTTCTGGACTGGGGTTTTGGATGATGAAGCCTTTGGTGGGATTGTAAGATATCTGGGTCCTATCCACTGCGATTTCTTCCGCAGGAACTTCCCTGTGCAGCGAGACTTTGATTTTGGGGTTGGTCACCCGGCAAGGGATGGTGGCGGGCTTGTCAGGGCGCAGGTAGATAATCTCAAAATGGATGGCAGAGGGGACGAACAGCTCATCTTTGTCTAGACACAAAGAGAATTGTAACAATGTCTTTGGAGGTTCAAGATCACATAGGTCTCTTTGTGTGATATACGAACAGATGCTGTACCTGTAAAGTATATGTAGGTAGCAGAGGTACTGTCTCCATCCTTTTCACATTCTACTCCATCACAGAGCAACACCCAACAGCTGTACTCCCCAGTATCAGCAGCAGAGGGCGACGTGAGGATCAACTGACTGTACCGCTCATGCTGCTTTATGCTGGAACAGCAGAGTCAAACAAGTATACACACATTATACTTACACCATATGTCGACTTATACTATTTCTGCCGTATTCTACAATTTAAGTTACATTTCATGTACATTGATGATAACAATTTTCATCAGAAAAAAAAACACATTTTATCCATTAAGGGAAATATTATAATCTCTTTTTGTTTGCTTAAAATATCTTTGATGTCAATGTTAAATTACAGTTTTTGCAGTGTCTGCTTTTGAAGTGAGTTCAAAACAGGGTTATTATAGTTAACTAAAACTAAAACTAAGAGCATTAAAATAAATTGATAAATTATAAAATAAAATTGAACTGAAATAAAAATGTAAAAAAACGACAACTTTATTTTAGTTTTAAAAAATTAGTAAAAGACTATAAAGATACTGTTAAAAAAAATACTAAACCTTTCATTAAAATTAAAATGAAAACAGAAAAAAATAAAACAAAAACTAATTAAAAATATTAATAAAAATCTCAATGAAATGTTAAAGAATGAAATGGGTTGTTTTTTTTTAGATAAAGATTACATTTAATTTAAACAAATATTTTTCTTATGTCTGCAAATGTTCGGTCAATTATGTTAATGAGAGAACAACCCCCAGCAACTAAAAAAATCTACTGCAACCAAACATTGTGTGACCACCATGTCCAGATTTTATTTTATTTTTTTCTGTAGTGGACATTTTGAACACATTATTGAAAGTGTTCTTTCATTTATTTTTTTCATTTATTGATTCTTTAACTAAATCTTTCACATGCAACGGAATCATGTGACAATGTAATCCTGCATCTTTGAAACACTTGTATTGCAAACATAAAATACTCCTGTAGCTGTTCGTTTGCCCGATTTAGCCAAACTATTCTCAATCAAACATGTTAAATGAATGGATAACGCGAGAAGAAAGGATACCTAAGGCGGTTATCATTGAAGGTGTCCAGGTAAGAGGGATATGCCCAGCCAATCTTAGTTCCTTTGCATCTCAGTTCCAATGTTTTCCCAGGATTCAAGGATAGGCTCTCGCCCAGTCTGAGAAAACGGCCTTTATCAAGGACCTGGGTGAGAATAGACTGGCCCTTGCTTCCTGCCTCCTTTTCTTTAACTTTGGGGTAGCGAACCTTTGCCCTCTTTCTTCCTGGTCTTATGCGGTTCTCACCAGCCTCTTTTTTATGCTTGACCTGCTGACACACACCTGCATAAACCAAAACAGAGTTTTCCTGGTCACCAGCAGATGCATTGGGATGAGAGTGACAAACTTTGGGAATAACATTCTGTTCTGAATTATGTGAGTAGGACATGAACATTATACAGCATGTGTGTTTCATTTCTCTCTTTGAGACACTTGATAACTCCTCTGCCTCCTATGACCAAGCCAAAGAAAAGAAGAAGGAGAGAGAGAGAGAGAGAGAGAGAGAGAGAGAGAGAGAGAGAGAGAGAGAGAGAGAGAGAGAGAGAGAGAGAGAGAGAGAGAGAGAGAGAGAGAGAGAGAGCAAGCAAGAGAGCATTCTGCCATCTGGAAATTTACTTCTGCTCACAGCTGTACAAACAGCAATAGTGCCTTTCCTGTTCTATGTGCGAAAATGTAGAAAACAGAACTATATAGTGGTTTACTGAACCTTTTAAATTCATTTCTGATACATGCAGGGATCATGACATCTAGAGGAATACGTTTGGATGGAAAAAAAAGTCATAGCTTCATAAAAAGTTTTTGTTGCCTTGTTGATAAGCTCAAACAGATCTGATTCTCTGTCTTTCGTCTCTGCTGTATAATTTAAGCACAAATTTAAGTAAAACTGCCCTGATTTGATCTCTCCTCTTTCTGCTCTGGAATTTTGGTTTCTATGGGCAGCAATGTCACCACTGGCACACCATACACGTTCATCCATAACATCTCTCAACTTATTTACTATTTCAAGCATTGAAAGACAATGTGTTGACTTCTTGAAGAAAGAATAGCAAGGCAGATGAAACAAAGAGAGATCTGCTCACCATTTTGGACCTCCAGCCAAAGCAATACCAGTGTGAAGAAGAGCCAGAGCTTCATGATGGCTGAAATGGGAGTGTTTCAACAAGGCTGTGTTTCAACTCTTCAGTGATTCAACACTTCGTCCACTGTCTACCCCGTTTACGCACAGTCAGCTCCATCCTTCGCGAAAAAGAGGAATTCCCCCAGCCCAATGAGCCCATCTGCACACTCCCCCTTTAGTGTCAATCTATGAGTCCCATCCAATGATCCTCTAATGCCCTCTGCTGGACTGTAGTTAACCCTGCATGGGGTGGGCAGCCTATTTGTGCCTCTTGGCTCGATAATCCAGTAAATATCGTTCAAACATTAAAGTGATACATTACCCAAAAATGTCATTATTTATACTCACTCTCAAGTTGCATGGAAAACATTGCATTGCATGCATCCAAACGTGTATGAGTTTATTTCCTCTGTTGAACTGAACACAAAAGAAGATAAATGGCTACTCTATTAAAATGAAGTAGGCAGTGTTGCCTCATTTGATATTTGAAAAATAGCCTATAGCTTAAATGTAATTGTTTATTGTGCCAGCTGCTTTATGCAGTTTTACAATAATGTAATCAGCGTGTGATGCTGAGGATTGAACTTTACAAGAACTCAAATGAAATAGTTTGCTCTAATAGATGATGCATGTACACAAAAAAAAGATCAATAAGTTATGACCACATGTTTTTACATACTCATCTCATACTCTACGTAATTTTCAACTTTTTTATAAGTTAAACAAGATTCAACTCATTTTTAAGTCAGTGTAATGTAATTTAAGTTGAAATGATTTAAACATCCAAGTTGATGGTACTTAAAAAATGTAAGGCATCGACTTTTAGCTCCACAGACTAGCTAACCAAGAATGAATTATCCATTACAATTAAAATAAAATTATTGAAAGTATATTATTTACAATAATGTGGGTAAACTTTGTTTAAAAAAGGGGAAAAATCTTTTTATTGCTTTGTATGAAACCACTTTGTAATGTTTTGACAATGGCATAAACCATTATCATAAAAAATAAAAATAAAATACAACTATACAAAGGTTCTTATCAGAATAGTTGATGTTGCAGTATTTTTGATGAGACATTAACACATTTTTATTAATCCTTGTGCCACAATCTTAGCCTCTCCATGACTCATTTACATTGCATTTACACCGAGTGTTTAAGGCAGAGAAGAACTTGAGTGCTTGTTAGCAGAAGAAACACTTTCAGATGCTCTGGTTGTCCATTCTTAGACCACTGCTGGCATCATGTATAACTGGCTCACATACAGATTGTCATATACTGAATGACTGCGGTGAACTATGTAGTGTAGACTGATGATTATTCATCAAAAGAAGTTTCTGAAAAAGTCTAACAAATATAGTAAGTCAATAAAGTGAATAAAAGGGTCATTTTACAAGACAAAACACTGATTACATACATAACTTGCTCCTCTTCAACATCATCAGACCTGGTTGTTAAACAACAGGTTGACTTATGAATACTGTAGATTGGATATGTCAAACATTTAACGATAACTACATAAAACACATGTAACATAGATAAAAAATAAGAAGTATAGTGTTTATCAGAATACAAGAAATAGTGTTATCTAGGCAGCTTAACATCTCTGGCACGTACAGTAAGATATGGTCAATAGAATTAATTCTAATTCTTAGAATTAAAAACTTTAACAAGTCAAAAAAAAAAAAAGCTGGATGTTCACCAATATCTGCAATTATTTGTTTTACCAATATCTATTCTAATGTTCCACATTATTTGATAATGCCACTTTACCACACATTTGTCCCATACCTTCAGTATATAAGCTTAGTATATTTTTTCTCCCTAATTTAACAAACTAACAGTGGAAATAACCTTGAGATACTGACTGTGGAAATCGTAATACTTTATAGAAAATAAAAACACGCTTTCCCTTTCTCTTCCAAACACATTTAAAGCAAATTGCTCACATGACCTACTGTAACAGGGCTGTAAATGTTTCAAATGAACCAATAAGAAATTGCAACTTTGTAACAATTTGAATCCCTTTTTAGGAACGAAGCAAGCGATCTACAGTTCTGAAAACGCCCTAAGAGTGTATAAATAGAGTCAATTCCATAATCATTGTCAGACCATGCACCCCTAATGTACATGATATGATCACAACACATGTGAGCGAGAGCATGAGCACTGAGAGGTGCTGCAGTGATTGTTCATGATGGCAGTGACTGTAAAGGCAGAGCTGAATACACAGAGCTCAGGTCTGTCAGCTGGTTGGTGAATGCTGTAGACAACAGCTAGATACTGTCAGTTTGTCTGCTGCTCTTTAACATGGGCTAGTCTTCTCTGTGTGTGTCACATACTCCACACTGCATGTCAGTATTTTTTTCTCCGTTGCAACACCACAGTTTTGTATATGCCTCTTGCGTTCATCGCTATGCCACATTCCATATCCAAAATAAATGAGGAAGCCTGTGGATTGATATCAAAGTTATGATTTATATCAAATGTGCATGTCAAACTTAGTCATTGTTTATTAAAAAGAACAAAAATGAGAAGAAAAAGAGCACTGAGACCTTTAGACACACTTTAGACTGTGTGTGTACCCAAAGATTGCACGTACCTATGGCCATCCAGATGGAGAAACGGATCCATGTGTCTCCGCTGAGCTGAACCATGAGATACACGTTGACAAATATACTCAAGATGGGTAGAAAGGGCAACAGAGGAACCTGAAGCAAAAAATACACACTGATTCAGATATGTGCTTGACTGCACTCTGCTCAGCACTCACTTATGAAATGACCCAGACTAAAAAAGAAATAACACGATTAATGGAGGCTCTTTCGGGTCATATCACTTTGTTTTTCAAGTCAGATAAGGATAGCACACAAAGCGGCCCTCCAAAGAACACAGAGTGCTTGGCAAACACAGATATTTTATACAGGCTATTACCCTAAAACTCAGGGCTGTTCTGGGCAGAATACACATCAAGATAAACACAGCAGCAACGGTTCAACATGCGCCACATTTATTAAAGGGATAGTACGCCTAAAACGAAAATTCTGTCATTACTCACCTTTATGTTATTTCAAACCTTTTATGCAGAATGTCAATGTTTTTTTCCATACAATAAAAGTGAAAGGCAGCAGTTCATACAACTTGTTTACTATATTGCACGTCTTGTGAGGTCATATGATAGTTTTTTGTGCATAAGTGACCAAAATGATGACTACTTATAGTAGCTTGACTGGTCACCATTCCCTTTCATTGTATGGAAAAGAACACATTCTGGCTCTTGTTTTTGTGTTCCATTAAAGAAAATATCTCTTTAAGAGTGTAAACGACCTTTCTAAAGGAAAACTAATTTTGGTTACTGAAAAAATGTGTAACTGTCACAAACAAACTGTTACTTGTATCTACTGGTTGTGGATTTATTCAGCAGGACTCAAATTGACCAAAAGTGACAGCAAAGACATTAATAATGTTAAAAAAGATTTCCATTTCAAATAAATGCTATTCTTTTTAACTTTCTACTCATCAAGGAATCCTAAAAAATGTATCGTGGTTGCAACAAAAAAAAATATTAAGCAGCACAACTGTTTTCAACATCGAACCAAATCAGCATATTAGAATGATTTCTGAAGGATCATGTGACTCTGAAGACTGGAAAAATGGCTGGTGAAAATTCAATTCAGCTTTGAAATCACGGGATTAAATTAAGTTTTAAAATATATAAAAAAAAAATATATAAAAAAAATTATGATTATACTTCACAATATTACTTTTTTTACTTTATCTTTTAAAGAGTATGTTTAGATCAACTTTTGGATTTCAAACCTACATACCATAAAGGAAACTTTCTTCCTCGTCTGAGGTTGTCTGCAAACTAGAAGGATGCACAGGATGAAGATGAACAAAGATGCGACCAAGACCCCCAGGGCCCAAGGCTCCATGGCAATAATGGCCTGTCCGTAGTATGTGTTGAGTGTGCTCACAACACACACAATAAGCACTGCAGGGAAAACAGTCACAGATGAGGATGACCAGTAAAGACATTTAAACCTGTCAAACCAGTCTCCAACTGCTGCAGTACTAACCCATGATGATAACAGATGCATTGACGGCAGTGGAGGTCTGTTCAGTGGGCAGCAGTGGAGGGTTGAGCAGAGAGCGCAGGGTTACACCTCTATCCTTCAGCATGTTCAGATGAGACTCAGACTCTGTCAGCTCAGACTCACCAACATCTTCCTTGCCTTCATTGATCCTAGACTTCTCGAACGCAGCATCTGGCTGATACCTGACACATACAGTACATTTTGTATTAGAATAGCTGCTTATGCCATGACAGAAACATGATTAAAACACTAATACATCTTTTTGTAAAACGTGATAAATGAATCATTAAATGTGACAGTATCATTTAAGCTCTACAGAGACAATCACAAGAAATGTGTCTATATCAAATCTGTCAAATCCTTCAAACACATTATACAGTTGAGAACTGACACAACCACTACATGGCAGATTAGTAATAGTACACACAGCATTGTACCTAGCTGATTAGGGTGAACAGGATTTCACCAAGTACAACATGTTGCTGGATCAACATTCCAATCAAACAATCAGATTTTAGGGACAAGTTTACAGACTTGTTTATGGTTAGGTGCTTCTACATCAGTGTTATCATTTCCCTCTGATTTCAGGTCGAATTTGTGGTTAGGATGAAATTGAAAGCAGGAATGTTGTTCCAGGATCAACTAAATATGTTGATCCATGACCATGTCTTACTTGGCAAAATCACGTTGACCAGTTGATTAGTTCTGCCACTAGTTGGCGCATCATTTAAGATGCATATTAAAGGGATAAAGTTAGTTCACTTTGAAATACATTTTTGGTATGTTTTAGCTTACCTCAAGGGCATCCAAGATGTAGGTGTCTTTGTTTCCGCAGTAGTTTCAATTGTAATATTTTTAGGTCAAACCGTTCTTGTCTGTCAGTCATATAATGCAGGTCTACTGTCACTTCCTCAAAGAGCATGCACAGAGAAGTCCAAATTAAACATGATTTAATGACTCATAAATGTAAGTACACATTGATGGCCTAAGACATGAAACGAGCGGTTTGGTGAGAAAACGAACAGTATTTATATAGTTTTTACCTCTTGTAAACACAGCCACGTCCAAGTGATCTGAGGGCGCCGGCGCTTCGGTCTTTTCCGGCAAGCGCCGGAAATGATCTCTCGCGCGTGTACGTCACTCATACAATTGTTTTATTTATTTATTTATTTAATTGTTTTCTTTTACTACGGTTTAAACATCCCGGATAAGCGCAAATTAGTACCATTTTAATTAGTCGTCTTACCTACAATCTCTGTTCTGTGTAAACAATGAGTGACGTACACGCGCGCCCTCAGATCACTTGGACGTGGCTGTGTTTACAAGAGGTAAAAAGCGATATAAATACTGTTCGTTTTCTCACACAAACTGCTCGTTTCATGTCTTAGGCCATCAATGTGTACTTACATTTACGAATCATTAAATCATGTTTAATGGGCTCTATGCACGGCGGTATTTCCGGTGAAGGTCTAAGGATGCTGTATTACTTCCGCCGATCGTAGAGTCCAATGCTATACCGAGAATTTATATTGGTTTTTATACTCAATTGCTATACTAAAGAAACGTTAGTCACAAAAACAGACAAAACAGACACTCCTCATTTTGTTTATGCTTCTGTGTTTATTATATTAAATAAACATAACTATATATAAAATTACATCTAAACGTATTAAAGTTTCGTTTCAAAGACGAGAGGACAGTCAATTTTTGAAGAATCTGCCATAATCCCGTTTTCCTCGGTTTTCCTCCGCTTTAAATCTCCCCAACCGGAAACGCACGAGCATCCTTGCGTCAAACGCGGAAGTTATGCGTGCATATAGCCCATTTGGACTTCTCTGTGTATGCTCTTTGAGGAAGTGACCGTAGACCTGCATTAAATGACTGACAGACAAGAACGGTTTGACCTAAAAATATCAAAATTGAAACTACAGCGGAAACAAAGACACCTACATCTTGGATGCCCTTGAGGTAAGCTAAAACATACCAAAAATGTATTTCAAAGTGAACTATCCCTTTAATATTAACAAATTTTGGCCAAGACCATATAAATTCTTGAAATGAATAATTTGAAAATGAATGTTTACTAACCTGAGGATAAGAACACAAGCAGCCACTAATGAGTACGCCAGCAAAGTTCCAATAGACATCATGTCCACCAGCGCTTTCAAGTCAAACAGAAAAGCCATGATAGCTGTTGATATGAAACAATAGCTGATCAGGTGGAGTTTAAAAATAATACATCAAATGCATGCTTTTTATATCACAAACCATACTTGCATAAATGAAATGGTTTACATACATTGGCTTAAACTATGTAGATACTTAAGTCACACATTTCATGGCATAACAATCTATTGTAAATATCTCTATTTTCTCAGAAATAATTTAAATTCTCTTAGCAATTTTTGCAATTGCTTGCAAAGCGAACATACAGAAAGTGAACAGTATATCTACTGTTTTGTATTGCATAATTTAAAACTATGCAAACTTTTTTTTGCCAAAAGTGTGTTGTATGCTATTCAAATAAATCTGTTTCATATTACATTGATATTTAATCCAATATCATTCATACATTTATATAAGTGTGGCTTGGTTGTCAAAAATGCATAAATACACCAACAGAGCATGCACAGTTTATTATTTCATTGGTATTCCTTTAATAAATTAAATCTTCCTATTTTGAAAAGCCTGATTCCAAAATAATCCAAGTGTCATCATCAATGACTTTAAACTCAGGATGCAATAGCATTGGTATCCTCTTATCAAATCTACACCAGATGTGCCCTATGACTTCATATACAGCTGCTCAGACTTCCCTCACAGTAAGAAGGCAGTGTACTAACAAACATACAGTGCTACGGTATGGGCTTAATATGTGCAATGTGCAGGGGGCTCCAAAAATCAAATCTACCCTGCGTCCTCATCCCCCGACTAAGCTTCCCCTCTGCTTTTTCATTCCTTAGAAGTCCTCGGAATCCATAAGCATGGCTGACCCCATGCTAGCATCAAAGTGCTGTATTAACACACTGTAGGGGAAGTACTAAGAATCTCTCTCTGCAGCTTTCATCAGAAATCTGCACCTGACACATATACATATATGCTGGTGTACATCTACATACGATATATACCAACAAAGCAATGGTAATTTCCTTTCTTTTTCCAGCAAACTTCATCAAGCGCTCTACATATCACTTTTGCATGCAATAAATAACATTTACAGAGATTTTAACTACGTACTGTATATATTTACAGATTTTTATCACCAACACCAACACCACAGCGAAAGCTATGGAAGCTTGTTTCTGCCACAGAAATAAAAAAAATAAAAAAAATTATTGCGACTTTTTATCTCATAATTGCGAGTTAACATCTCTCAATTTTGACTTATTTACTCAGAATTGTGAGATATAAACTTGCAATTGCAAGTTATAAAGTCATAATTGTGTGATATAAACTCGCAATTGCGAGTTATGCGTGATATAACTGACTTTCTCAGAACTGTGAGATACTCGCAATTGTTATAAAGTCACATTTTTTTCTCCGAATTGTGAGTTTATATCACAATTCTGTCTTTATAATTCGCAATTGAGTGTTATAAAAACAGTATTACGAAATATAAACTTACAATTCTGAGAAAAAAACTTCTACTATATCTCGCAATTCTGACTTTATAACATGCAATTGTGACTTTATATCATGCAATTCTTACTTTATAACTCGCAATTGCAAGTTTATATCACCTACTTCTGACTTTTTTTCCCACAATTCAGAAAAAAAAATTGAAAAAAATTAATCCCGCAATTGCGAGAGAGAAAAAGTCGCAATAACCTTTTTTATTTTTTATTCTTTGGCGGAAATAAGCTTCCATAGAAAGCATGCTTCCATTAACAGGGTAATTAAGCAGGCACCTCCACCAGGCTGACACAAACAGGACAGCAGGCCATGCCAGGCCTACCTCGATCTTAGCTTACCCGCGGTAGTGCCCGCTGCCATAGTGGCAGCCACTGGCGACTGACGCTTACTCACTTTGGAAAGAAATCTGAATAGCACGCCATCTCTTGCCATGGCAAACAGAATGCGGGGAAGAGGGAACAAAGAACCCAACAGGCTAAAAACAAAAAAGGAGTCATGGTTCAGATACCTGCAACTCTGGAAGGAAAATAACACATTAACCAACACCGGCAAGTGTGAAGGAGCAAATATTTACTGGAAATTTATATTCACTAAATGAACTGCCTTTACTTTATTCCATTACTTATTAATTTCCTTGATTTCTCCAGGCCTGAAATTTACAGTCTTTAAAAGAAATCTTGACATTTCCAGGTTGTTTGTGACTGTTGGAACCCTGTAACAGATGAATTTGATGCATGTTCCTAAAGAATAATTTTGTGTATTGCGCAATTCCACTCTTTTTCACATTTGCCTGGTGGATCACATTGGCAGTTTGCATAGCAATCGTGCCTCCATCTCTCACCTGCAACTACACCTGAAGACATTGTAGCAATAAGAGGGGTCTTCGTCTTAGGATTGATTTGGGCTAACACTTTGAAAAGCACCCCATCCTGTGCCATAGCATAGATTACACGCGGCATTGGGAAAATGGAGCCCAGCAGACTGCATGTGAGGCAAACACATCAGCAGAAGCAAAGTGTCAATTAATCACATGCTGCAGATCTGATCCCAAACACTTCAATGCTGTGTACTATTACAGGCGTCCACAAATAATGTTTTTTTATTTTAAAGTCAACATGAAATCAAAATTAACACCGTTTACTTTCTTAACACATTTCTGGTCTTCTTATTCATGATGGATGAATGTATGTTATTCCACAGAAAACTAAATTGTTGTTTCGACTGACATCACCGGCCTTTTACGTTTTTAACTCCTGCCCTCCAATCGCAGGATATATAACAAAATGCTGTTTCATGTTGACTAGGATATAAAAAATTTGACAACACATCATTGCATAGCACTTAGCAAATGAAGCAAATGGGACCAGACGTGCAGTTAAATCATATTATTATTTTTTTCCTGGGAGTACTGCACATGGCCTATATAGGATATGGTATCCTAATATTTTATTCAATTAATGCCACAAGTATTCAAAAGAAAAGTAGTTCTAATCAAAATGATTGGTCTTGGGTAATAATTTACCCAATTTTGGTCTTTTATAGCAATAGAGTGCAACAGTCGGGTTCTGGAAGTCAAAACTCCATTCATTTTCTCCATAGGGAAATTGATTTTTAACGATAACTTATAAACCTTTAAAAACAACCTTACTGTGAGCTACGAGGTTGTTAATAATGGCATTGGCTTCAGTTGAAGACGTAAAAGCCTGCATTATTTCAAATGCCACCAATCAAGCAAACCATGCCAAAATATCTCGTTAGCAATGAGCTCATTGAAGTAATTAATTACAAGCTGTCAAAATAATGATTACAATATATAGAAATTTAGCATTGGTGCATGTTGATTCAGAGTTTGCGTCATCTGAAGTCCTTGTAGGAGATGGAGTCATCTCTTCACAGAGATTCAATGAGACTCATTTCAACATTTTGAAATGAGTAGTTTTATATTTCTCCATCTTTCTTAATTTGATTATGCTGTTTGCAATGCTTCATGGGATTGTAGTTCTTTCTATAACTAAAGCACACAGTCTTGTACCTTTGTAATTTTGTCAGAATACTTTCTTTGATTCAAATCAAAGTTTGTAACATTATGATTCACTTCGTAGCTGGTTGGCTTGCTTCATGACTTAAAATGCATTAACAAAGACTTTTTAAAATCCCTATGGGACAACTGAATGGGGGAAAAAACTTCCGGAACCAACGCTGCTGGAAGCACTGTTGCACTCCATAGGTTCAAGATAAGAGGTTGTATACTTTACCAATCACATACCAGGATGTTTTTAAACATAATTAATATTAATATTAGAGAAAATCTAATAATCATTGCATAAATGCTGTGGAGTGTAATTCGTGCAGCTTTAGGGAGCCTTGCTAAATGCCCAACAATAGCCCTTACTGATTTATGTCACCAGGAAAAAACAGAAACTCATTCCACATGACAATTTTGTTCTGAAAGAGAGCACGTTAAAACCTGTATCATATAAAAGCTAATAATAATACAGTATAATGTGATTAATTAAATGCTATGTATAATTATTTACATATGGCTCTCTTTCAAACAAACCACCATCAAAAAGTCATTAGGGATGCAAAGCATATGAGCAATCCACCAGAATCCCAACTAAGAACTCCATAAAAATGAATTAGGAAAGTGTTGTGTTTAACCGAATGACAAACAAATGACAAAATGAATAAATGCACTTTTATGCAAGTATTCACAATGTTTGATATGAGCATGCTATCTCAATATACCGTCTTGTGAGATGACTTGGCCAGCAGAACAACATTATGGGAGCAAAGAAAGATGTTTACCTGGTTGAGAGAGCACAGAGCGATCCTGCCGCTACTACATATTTCGCAGGCCCCCAGCCCACATATTCAAAAGCCAAAGGTAGAGGACTCCTCTCATCCAGCAGGTAGTAGGGCATCATGAGGGTGAGTGCCGCTGACACTCCAAAGTAGGCAAGGAAGCAGACCAGCAGGGAAACAACTATACCGATGGGAATGGCCCTCTGGGGATTCTTCACCTCCTCACCTGGTCAGAATCACAAATATCAACACACTTGGAACTCAAGATCAGATTGGAGGACTGGAAATAACTGTGCATAAGTGACTGAGTACCTGTGGTTGCAATGCAGTCAAATCCCACAAAGGCGTAAAAGCATGTGGCCGCACCAGCAAGTGTCCCGCTAAAGCCATAAGGCAAAAAGCCCCCTACCCCGTAATCGCTGGTGACATTAGCAGTGTGTGAGAGATTCCTGTAAGGAGATTGAAGTGTATTTTCACATTTGAATGGTTATGATCATAATTCACACATCAGGCTCGCATAATTCATCAACATATGAAAGAAGAGAAGGAATAAGAAAGAGAAATTCTTCACCTTCTGACAATGGTGACGTTTATGAGAGATTCTTCTGAAATATTCCAATTGAGCGCGTCTCCTTTGACGAATCCAGAGATGATAACAAAGATCAGCACAAGCACATTTACAGCTGTGAAAATTTTGTTGACCCAAGCTGATTCTTTCACCCCAAAGGAGAGAAGACCTGTGAAAAAAAGATTTACAGTGACAGACATGAAACTGCATGTGAAAGTCAGAAATTATTTATGTAATCATTTGTTTAAATGTTTTTCTAATAGTACTTAACTTAAATGATGTAAGACGTACAAACATCTATTCATTTAGCAGAGGCTTTTATGCAAAGTGGCTAACAAATGAGGAATCTAACCATTGTTGGGTGTAATGCATTACTAAGTAATTAATTACTGTAATATAATTTTTTCCTTGAAAAAGTAAAGTAAGGGATTACTCTTTATTTTTCTGTGATTTGATTAGTTACTTCTGATGTAATTGCATTAAATAGACTAGAACTATTCTATATAAAATAATAGTGGATTTAACATCAACATTTAACCTCTAATGTTAAAATGTATGTTTTTAATGTAACCATCTCCCTCTGTCACCGTCCCACAGGTGGGACGTTTGCCATTATATTTTTAAAACAATAATATCTTAGTGAAAACCTTAAGTAATATTGACAAACTATATATCATTTGAAAGCTTACAATCTCTAGTTTCCATATTTGGTGATTGATTTTCAAAATAAATTACAGAGGAGCCGTAATTTATCAATTTGCAACAAGAATATTTGCATACTCCAAAGGCCAATGTTCAGACCTTTATTTTGAAATAGCAATGAACATGAAAAATCATGAATAAAATAGTAGAAACCTAGTTTGTTTTCATACCAAGAGTTCAAAAGATAGCATCCATTCAATTATTTTAGAAAAAAAAGTCTGAAAATGTTTTAAATATAAAGAAAAAAATAATAAATTCACCATTTGTGATGTGGCAGCGAGCTATGACGCACATGCGTGTTCTTTGTATGTGTTTATTAGAGGTTGAATTCATATCAAAATCTGCCAAACTTCCCATACTACTTCTGAATAGGATCTCTACTTCATATATTGTATGAAAATTGTGGAAATAATGGTTCATATCACTCAAAACACATATGGAAATGGAGGCGCCCTTATATGGGCAGTAATGGAGTCTGGTTGTGACCTAGTGAAAAAGTTTGGTACTGCGCCCAAACAAAATCTTACTGAAAGCTCATTTTTTGAGATATCAACCTAAAATTTGAAACACAACTAGTTCAGATTTTTGGCTTTGATTTTTCTGCAGTTTTAGAGTAGCCCAGGTTTTGAAAATATATATTTTATATAAAATATGAATACATTTTTTTTTACATTGTACATTTCCATAAACTCAAACTTCTATTACATTTTTTCTGTTTCACTTTCTTAATTTATTTAACTTCTACATAAATCTGCCAAATGTCTTCTTTAAAACAAGACCAATCTTATGTCTATATTCCAAAGCATTCTTGAATTACAACCATTTATGTTCGAAATGTGCATTTTCATGTCTATTCAAAAAAGGGGGGTGACAGTTAACAGGTTAAATACTATGGTCAGTTCAAAAAATAATTTATGCAATTTTATATTATTTATTTGAAAGAATTAAAAGAGCAGTTTCATGTCTATCCTTGTGTTTAACTGTTCGAGCGTGATATGGGATTTAGAAAGTAATCAGTAATAAGTAATGCAATACTTTTAAAAGACAGTAATTAGTACCGTAATCTAATTACACAGTTGAAGATGTAATTAGTAGCTAGTAATTAATTACTTTTTTTAGAGTAACTTACCCAACACTGAATACAACTAGCTAGTACATGCACTTTTACAAGTTGATTGTACTGAAATGTGTGTTGGCAGTGCCTGTACACAACCATCATAAAATGATAAAAATCCATCCAGTGTTTTTGTTTTAATCTCCTTATATGTTTTCCCCTGCCTCAAATTGAGCCGTTCGATTTTGTGACGTCACACGCTCGGAAGCCCCTCCCATGATTGTTGATTGACAGCATCGTTTCAACACAGACCCGCCCTCGCTCGTGAGCCAGCTGTCAATCATAGTCTGCGCGGACCGGCGCGGTCATTGTTGATATGCTGGAGCACTGTCTATGAGCAGAATGGCGTCAAAGCGATTGTGGTGTTCTGTTCTTGGGTGTAATAATGAACACCGCAGTCATTTTAATGTTCCTAAATCCGAACCGCCGAAGACGCAGTGGCTGAGTTTGTTTTCGAAGGGAATATTCCCCACGAGCAACGTCAATGCTTTCATGTTTGCGCGAATCATTTCTCACTGCTTTATAAACGAGGGTCAGTATGAGCTGGTTTTGCTAAGAAGCTGCTCATGAAAAAAGGATCGGTACCAGCTATTCGTGTTCCTGCTGAACCTCTAGAACAACTGAAGTGAGTGTAACGTTTTATTAAACTTTATATTAATATTTATATTAATCTTTGCAAATCGCTAGCTGCACTGCACGATTCATAATGAATGCGTCTAAGGTTTAGACTTAGGGTACATTACGGCATGTTTTCTATGTATGATGTTCTGAATATAATTCATAATCCCACGTTTATACTGAACAACGCGTTATGGTTATTGTGTTACAAACGGTGTACACACAGAACCGAGAGGCGGGGTGAGCAAAGCTCATTATCATTTAAGGTCATATGCACTGAAACGGCGTGCTGAAAACAGAGCTGTTTTTGACCAAGTAAAATAAGTAATACTAATGAGAATTTTTAATTAAAGTATATTACAAACTTTTAATTTAGACCCTAAAGAATCATACTAGCTTGTACAAAAATGGCATTATATGACCCCTTTAAGAAGGCAATAACACAGAATAGTGCATGCTAGAACAAGGAAGAATATAAGATTTTTTTTAAGATGAATGAAGTGAATGAATTTACTAACAGTTTTTTGTTTTGTTTTACCTGACAGGAGTAAGATCAGGCAGACAGCAAAGAAATCAGGGTACTCTGCCAGGCCAGGCAAATTCATTTTGAAGTACAATTTGCAGAACTTTTCAATGTGGCCCCCAATAAGCTCATCAAACGTCCCACTCCAGGCACGTGCCACACTAGAGGTCCCTGTGCCAACCAAATATCAGTTTATGTTTGAAAAATATCATTTCATTTGCTATATTATTGCTTTAAAATATGACTAATCCATAATTACCAATGACGTATGACAGAATGAGGTTCCATCCTGTAATGAAGGCCCAGAGCTCCCCCACGGTCACATAGCTGTACAGATAGGCCGAGCCCGTCTTGGGTACCCGCGCACCAAACTCAGCATAACACAGGCCGGCCATCACAGATGCTAGAGCTGCGATGAGGAAGGACACCACAATACTGGGGCCAGAATTGCCTTTGGCCACCTCCCCAGCGAGCACATAGACACCGGCCCCCAGTGTACTTCCCACCCCTAGGGCTATGAGATCGACAGTGGAGAGGCAGCGGCACAGCTTGGACTCCTCCAGACAGTCCTGGTCCACATTCTTCCTCCTCACCAGGGAGCGGCAAAATGTGAGGCAATGTTCCAGCATTCTTCCTGTTAGCACAAACGGTCAAGAGAATATTTGTCAAATAAATAAATCAAGTACACTAACTATGTATATTTGTTTTTTATTGTTGAGTATGTGCCAAAAGAAAGATTTCTGAAGATGATTTCTTTTCTTTACTATATTTTACATAGTCAAATCATACAGAAAAGATCATGTCATGACTAACACTGCACAGAAGAAATGCACAAAGTAAAGATTCGATTCTGCAAGATCAGTATTGGGAACCAAAGTGGAGCTGAGGCATGCAAAATGACAACTGTATTATTCAATAACACGTTCAGCCTTTGTTCTCACATGCACATGTCTGCAGTTTAAGCAGCCGGTTTTAGTATTGGCCAATGTAGAATAATGCATAAGCCTTGGGCATTATTGCATAATAGTGGGATAAAGTGCTTTCATTTCATTCCATAGGCGTAGGTATTTGGCACATCGCTTATTGGCCAGTGTGCTTTTTTGCAATTAAAGCGTTAAGCCTGTTGGTTTATTTTAATGGCTTACAGGTTCATTATTAAAGTTCATAATAAGCGTATCAAGTATAATGGGTTTATATATTTTTTAAGTATTTAAAGTATGTAGTCTGCTATGCAAACTGAGGATAACACTCCTCGCTCAATGAAAATGTGTTACCCTTAATTAAATCCATTTTAGTTACAGCACTGTCTCTTTAAAAATATATACAATTTATATATATATATATATATATATATATATATATATAAATTGTATATGTTATACTGTATAAGATAATAAATCTTTATACACTACCTTTCAAAAGTTTGGGGTCAGTAATTTTCTTGTTTAAATGAATTAATACTTTCATTCAGCAAAGACACAATAATCAAAAGTGACAGTAAAAACATTTATAATGTTATAAAATGTTTCTATTTAAAAATAAAATATTTTTGTTTCTTGAGCAGCAAATCAGTAGGCCTATATTAGAATGATTTCTGAAGGATCATGTGACACTGAAGACTGGAGTAATCAGCTTTGACATCACAGGAATAAATTACATTAGAAAAGATATTCAGATAGAAAATAGTTGTTTTAAATTGTAATAATATTTTACAGTGGTATTGGCTTGCTCTATTTTGAACAAATAAAGGCCTTCAAAAACATTTTAAAAATCTTAACAACCCCAAACTTTTAAATGGTATTGTATATTTTTATACAAACAGCATTTAGAACAGCTTTAGAGAATCAGATTTGTTTCGTATTTTGCATGTAAATGAGGATGCAGACCAAAGTTGCACTAAAGCTGCTTCCTAAATAACTTCTTTTACATGCAAAACACATTTATAAAAAAAAAGATTTAGCACATTGTGATGTGCATGAGCAAATGGCTGGGCATTAGCATTACACTGTGTCTGCTTACAACATGTGAAAGGTGTTAAGGAGTCACACAGGCAGAGAAGACTGACATGCATAAGGCTGTTGGCTGTACCTGTGAGCTGTAGCCCTGAGGGCTCGGACTTGACAAGCAACTCTGAGGCTCAGTTACAGCACAGCATATGTAATAGCTGAGCCAAAATGTATTCTGTCTTACTGTAATGAGTGAGTGGATCTCAATAATACTACAGTAACACGTACAGACTTTGCACGCAATTATCATAAATTAATTTCATAGTTTACTTTACTTTTGGAATAATATGTCTTAAATGGATCTGATAAAAAGTATTTAAAAATATGACTAAATGCACATGAGCAATGACAAATCATCTAAAATCATGTATGTGCATAAACACAGACACTAAAACTTACCGTCTGGTGAAAGACTGGCAGATGTAGAATCACGTTATGGAAATAATGCCTTTCTTCTAAGGGCTTTCATGCAAACACACACATACACGCCCCCACACTCACACCTCTCCACTGATTTCTTTAAAAAGCTTGCGAGCTCTGAGAGATCCAAGTCAGTCCTTCCCAAGTCCTGTCTCAAGTTTGCCCCTGCCTTCCTCTAGCTCAAATGACATGTCAGCCCACAACCGCACTAGTTTTACTGCCTACTTTACTCTATCCTGGTTTGTCTTAACTTGCCCTGCCCCCTGTGAGGAGGACTTGTCTGGCAGCTGTGTGCTGTGCTGCCCCAACGAGGAGGAGGGACACTTACACATTTCACACAGAGGGAGGCAATGCTAATATCCCAATTCAAACAGGTCACTGGGGTTTGTGAAAAAAAAAAAAGTGTGTGTGTGTGTGTGTGTGTGTGTGTGTGTGTGTGTGTGTGTGTGTGTGTGTGTGTGTGTTAATAATGCTGCCTGATTCCTTTTGAACATGCTTTAAAAAAAACAAAAAAAAAAAAAACTCATGGCCGAGTAAGTCCCAGCTGCCAGTGCACTTACTGACCGCTGATAAACGGTTAAGCAACTGACAATGACAAACATTGAGACAGACAGATCTGTTTGCCCTGTGCAGTCCGGAAGACTTGCTAAAAGCACGAACGCTGATTGGACAAAGAGGTCTACAAGAGCAATCACAGGTAAAGGGCTTTAAAGGGTGATTGTTTCCCTTATATATAAGCTCATGAGCCAACGTTGGGTCAATAGGCCTCTTCAAAACAGTAGTGCTAATATCACAAATCTGATATAGGGGAAAACAGGGTGAGTCACTCAGGGTTGAATTTTATACACATTCAAAGTCCAATTAAAGAAATGCTGAACAAATATTTTAAACCTTGAATTAAGAATATTTGGTAACATTTGATTTTGATGGTCCCTTTTGAACATGCTGTTCATATAGTAGTAGACTGTCTGCTTAGTATCTGCAAACACTTTATTGTGGTCCTCCAACAGACATTCGACTGACTGTAAGTAACTTTGCAACATGCCAACTTACTCTAACCCTAACCCTACTAGTCTACTAATACTCTACGAACACTCTAATGAGAGCTAGTAGACATGTAAGTGCAATGTCACTTACAGTCAATGGAATGATTTAAAGGGACCATCAAAATAAAGTGAAACCGAATATTTTTTGTGAATTCTAAATTGTTCAATAAAGCATTCCCAGGGGGGGGGACTTTCAGTAGGCTAAAACTCCATTAACTCCATTTTGAAAGTTGTGAATTGTGAAAATTAAGTGATCTAGGAACTTAATACAGCACATGCCACAGACTGTAAGTCTATCACTCACAGCCTCGTTTTTATCTGCATTCACGAGTTTTGGCCCGAACCCAGAGTACTCCACCCGGTTGTGATAAGTAAGGACTAGAAGTGAGGAGATGGGGTGGTGGAGGGATGCTGATAAACTGTCAATGAACTGAGGTAAGGCTGGTGTATATATACCTCTTATCATTATGTGAGTTGATTGGCTGAATGCGCTCCTCTCGTGTTAATCAGGTAAATTTTTTGAACGTGCTCCTCCATAACTTTGTTAATAAAACATCATTTAATTCAATATAGAATCTAATCAGACTACGGCGTTAATATAGAAGACGTTTTTACATTCCTCTGTGCTGCTTTTCAATTGTTTCTAAACAAGCTTTTAGAACTGCCAAAATTCTTAGTGGCATATAGATTCGGTTCTAGAAACATTCCTCAGAGAATTTGGTTCATATTGACATGATAGCATCACGTAGTTGCTTCAGATTTGTCGGCTGCACATCCATAATGCGAATCTCCCGTTCATCGCAAAGGTGCTCTATTGGATTGAGATCTGGAACTGTGGAGGTCATTTGAGTATAGTCAACTCATTGTCATGTTAAAGAAACCTTTTTTTTTTTAGCTTTGTGACATGGCACGTTATCCTGCTGGAAGTAGCCATCAGAAGAGGAGCACACTGGTCATGAAGGGATGGACATGGTAAACAACAATACTCAGGTAGGCAGTGGCATTTAAATGCTCAATTGGTACTAGAGGCCCAAAGAAAATATCCCTCACACCATTACACCACCAGTAGCCGTAACATTGATACAAGGCAGAATGGATCCATGCTTTAATGTTGTTCAAGCCAAATTCTGCCCCTACCATCTGAATGTTGCAGCAGAAATCGAGACTCATCAGACCACGTTTTCCAATCTTCTAATGTCCAATTTTGGCGAGCCCGTGTGAATTGTAGCCTCAGTTTCCTGTTCTTAGCTGACAGGAGTGGCACCCAGTGTGAACTTCTTCTGCTGTAGCCCATCTGCTTCAAGGTTCAATGTGTTGTGTGTTTAGAGATGCTCTTCTGTAGACCTTAGTTGTAACAAGTGTATTTGAGTTACTGTTGCCTTTCTATCAGCTTGAACCAGTCAGGCCATTCTCCTCTGACCTCTGGCATCAACAAGGCATTTTCACCCACAGACCTGCCGCTCACTGGTTATTTTCTCTTTTTCGGACCATTTTTAAAGATGGTTTTGTGTGAAAATCCAAGTAGATCAGCAGTTTATGGAATACTCATAACCAGGGGTGCAAACAAGAAACTCTGCTTCTAACCACAGGTCGAGAACTGTAGTTCCAACCGCACAACTCTGCGATGTGGTTTGCGAATGTTCGTTGGAGGTTTCGGGAAACACCGACTCATTGAACTATGCTGATAACGACGGAACTTGCAACCATAGTTGGCTAACGATGCTTTTGGGAAACGCACTCCAGCCCGTATGGCACCAACAACCATGCCATGTTCAAAGAACTTTAAATCACTATTTTCCCCATTCTGCTCAGTTTGAACTTCAGCAGATAGTATTGATAATATCTACATGCCTCAATGCATGGAGTTGCTACCATGTGATTGGCTGATTAGATATTTGCGTTAACGAGCAGTTGAACAGGTGTACTAAAGTAGCTGGAGAGTGTATTTCATACACTTAAAAGGGGTGTGGATATGCTCACTCAATGATACTAAAGGCCAGGAGTGAAGAATTAACCTGACAATAGGTCATTTGCATACCCCGCCAATTGTGACATGAATTGTGAAATCTTTTATGCAGTTTGTCAATCTGATCTAGAAGATCAGATGTGTCAGACTGAGGGTGTATTCACACCTGCATTGTTTGGTTCGATTGAATCGAACTCTAGTTCGTTTCCCCCCTTGGTGCGGACCTTTTGGGCAGGTGTGAA